ACTACCATTACGACGACGACGACTACTACTAGTACTACTACTACTGCTGCTGCTGCGGCTACTGCTGCTGCTGCTGTTACTACTACTACTACTACTACTACTACTACTGCTACTACTGCTACTACTACTACTACTGCTACTACTACTACTACTACTACTACTACTACTATCACCAAGACCACAAAGACAGCGAAGACGACGACGACGACGACGACTACTACCACGACTACTAATCCGAACGCTACCGCCGCGGCCACCACTACTGACTGCTACTGCTGCTTCTACTTCCGCTACGACTACCAGACTTCTGCGCGTTGTGGCCGGTACGGTGCGTCGGGATGCTTCTGAAAAATTGCCAAGCAAATTTGCGAGGACACTGCTGGTAGTTGTGAGGACCATGACAAAGATGAAGATGGTAACTACTGCTGATGACAGTAGTGATGATGATGCGGTTGACGAGTGTAATGGTGATGATGATGGTGATGGCCTATTCATGATGGCGAGGTCAGTGGCCTGTGATGCTTTCCAATGGCTACGGCTTTGCTTCGGTGGGTTAGCGGCTTCTTCCGAAGCAGACCTACCAAATACCACCAGTATGTGTGCCATTTTTCTGACCAGCAATCCAACAAACATCTTGCTGCTGCTGCCACTTCGGTTAGACACGGCTACAAACCTGCAGCAGTTCAGAGATAACTTGTGGGCAGGTCACGGCCCAAGGGGAATCTTCGTAAGTCTGAAGCCCTCTTGAGGCGCTGCAGCCTGTCGCGTGTATGTATGCCTCATATTTCAGCCAGGCGTCAAGGCTCCGGCTGTGTGAAGGCCGCCCCCGTCCTCGAGCGGTGCATCGTGCCATCGAGTCACGGCACGTTGTGATCATATCACGAAGCCCTACTAATTTTGACGAACAGGATCCCTAACCCTCCAAGTCCTGCACTGCCATGCTACCAACGACCTTGAGAAGCGAGGCCTCATCGAGCGTGATGTCCTCGGACTTGCAGTGCACGAGCCGACTCTACGACAGGCAGTCTAATCATACCCTATGCTCGAAGGAAACGTTCTGGCACTGACAATCAACGTCAGCCTGTAGCGTATGGGTATGTCAATGTGCTGAATGCTCACAAAGCCTCCGCTGAGTCTCACCTGCCAAATGGGCACACAAAGAGGTCTGCCAACCCCCTGAGGAATCTGAGGACATGCGTCTACGCATACCTACACGCATCATTGCCACAAGTGGCAAGAACGATGTTGGGTAGTTTCAGCAACGGTGCCGCCGTCCCTGCCCTAGCTGCGACCCCTGCATGCACAGTACTCAGCATCCCAAACGCCACGATATATGCATAGGCTGCATAGGCCGTGAAAGTTGAAAGTCGGTAATGCTATCAGGAACAGCCAGCAATGGTAACCCGGCACGACCACCAGCATCACAGCCAGCACCATCATGTAACATACAGGAAATCCCCCCCACACCTTATTTCCTTTTGAAGGAGCAGGCTCAAACGCAAAACACATGTGCGAACCAAATCTATAAGCAAGATGGTCGTGATACATGGCGGGTTGAGCTTCGCAAGCGTGTTTCTGGCTGAGCAAGGTTCCCACACTTGTCATCAAGGTGCAATCGTCCATCAGGGTAAGTACATGAAACTCTTTCAGGGATGGCCGGAGGAGCTGGATCTTATGGAGGTGGGTGGGCGACCACGCATCAATCCTCCATGAGTACGAAGCAAGAAGAATCGCTGCAGCCGTTGCAGCTCAGCGTCCCCACCAGCCAAGCCACCACCACAAAGAGCTCTACCACCTGTCACCTTGTTTTCGGTGCCCATGGCTCGGGTTCCCCTTCGGGACTGCTGCGTTGAAGGGTACTGGAGCTCTCGGTGCTGGACTCTCCGGAGTCCGTTCGAAGATGTCTCCAAACTTGAATCCGAGACCAAGGCTGCACAACCTATATAATCCCGAAGAATGCAGTCACAAACTCTGAGAAGACACTATTGTTGAAACAGGATTTTCGCGGTGGAAAATCCTCGGCTTGATGTTCTGGAACAAAAGCAGGGTGGAACTGCAACAGAAGGACGTCTCAGTCAGGAACCCTAGGCACTGAAGCCAACGTCCTACTATATAAATGCGATATGGAAATTGGGCGAAGTGGCTGTGACGTTGGACTTTTCGAGCCTCATGACTCCTCCGATGATGGTCAGCACTTACTTCTCTGAAGTTGCACTCCTCGGAAACAACCTTTCGCTGAAGCACCCGGGTTTGTCTAAACGCCGCGCCGAAGACAAGCCGAACCCTAGACAAGCAGTCTGTGGGACATGCGCACACAAGTTCTTGTGTCTAGCCTTCAAAGAGGCATATGCTGTGTCAGCTGAACTTTAGGCACACTCCGAGCTTTTCTTGGCGACCTCCCTAGTCCTAGGTTTAGTATGAATTTGATGGGCTCCTCGACTGCGGAAAGTACCGCCACCTTGGGCGGAGCTGTTTGCCGCACTCTGCTGTGTCTCCACCTGCGCATCCTGGAAGACGATACTCCTCGGCTTCGGATTATGCGTTCACTGGTGGGCTATCATCGTTGTATTCAGAAACGGTCTCCCTTGATCAGTAATCCCCCCTCCCGAACAACCTGAAATCCGGAATAGTTATGGCACAGTCGTAGTATTATAGTAGTAGTAGTAGTCGTCGTCGTCGTCGTCGTCGTCGTCATTGTCGTCGTCGTCGTAATGGTAGTGGT